GAAGAGCGGGCGGAGGACGAGGAGTGTGAGAACGACGGAGTGGGCGGCAACCTGCTCTGCTCCTATGGCACGCCTCCGGACAGCCCTGGCAACCTCCTCAGCTTCCCCCGGTTCTTTGGTCCTGGGGAGTTCGACCCCTCTGTCGATGTCTATGCCATGAAAAGCCATGACAGTAAGTAGGAACTGCACCTGGCCTGTCTGCTCCTGGCCCACTCCCTTCAGGCTCACTGTCTAGGTGCCCCTGGGGTGCCTGGACCTCAGCCGCATCGATTGCTGACTTTGGCCTCTTCCCGCCTCCAGGCTCCTCTGTGTGGTCACCTCCAGTAACTGGGGCCCTGGGGTTCCTTCTCTGTCAGGGCTTCCTCCCCCTCTGTGCCTCTCCTGGATGGTGAGGCATCATTCTGCTCGGGCTCATGGGATGGACACACCTTACACACATTCATGTTGGCCGTGGGTGGCCGTGAAGGTTAAATGAGAACTGAATGCTTCTGAGAACCCTGGTGGTCATTCCTCTTCTCAGCTCCGTAACGCTAAGCATGGCTCAGAGCCTCGTATCTGAAGGGGTGAGAGAGCTCAGCCGCCTCCTGCTCTTCTCCCGGCCACTCTTCCTCCTTCCCTGCTTCCCCTTCCCATCCAGGTGCCCCCAAGAAGGAGGTCTACTTCATGGCCATCATTGATATCCTCACGCCATACGATGCAAAGAAGAAAGCTGCACACGCTGCCAAAACAGTGAAACACGGGGTGAGTTCTGTCTGTCCAGGGCCGAGCCAGGGAGAGTGTGCACCTGCCCTCAGACCCCGGGGTGATCTCCACCCTCCTGTTCCCACCTTTCCAGGGCAGAGAGCAGAGAGCAGCCGGCCTGCCTTGCCTGTGTCCCCTGCCCTCTACACCCCACCCCTCCCTGCCAGGCCTGGTAATTTGCCCAACTTGTTTTTTCCCTAGTTCTCTGGCCCTTGGGGCCCTGAACCCTGCTGGGCATGTTGTGTATCTTACAGAGCGGCCAGTAATAGCTTTGTTGACTTGCCCACACTGCTCCCTACAGGCCCCTGTTCCCATGGAAGGGAAGCGACTGTTCTCCACACATGGGCCCCATGGAAGTCCAGAGCCTGGCTACTACTTCCCCACCCACTTCCCCACACATCAGAGTGAGGCCACGACAGTTCTGAGACATGGGGAACACTTTCCCAGGTGGCCAGCCCCATCTCTGGGGAGCCAATTTCAGTTTTGATGCTGGGTCGGAGGTTCCTGAATACCCAGGCTCCTCCCAGAGGTGGCCTCCGATTAGGGCTGAGGAGCTCCCCCTGAATCGGCCTCTTGTGTGTTACAGGCGGGAGCGGAGATCTCGACTGTGAACCCTGAGCAGTACTCCAAACGCTTCAATGAGTTCATGTCCAACATCCTGACGTAGTTACCTTCTACCTTCAGCCAGAGTCAGAGAGCTGGATATGGGGTCGGGGATTGGGAGAGGGAGAGGGTGGATTTGGGCTGGATGGGAGGGTGGGGAGCAGAGTGGGGGGTCGAGAGGGCTTTAGCAATGAGATTGCAGCCTGTGACAACGAGAAAGAGATGCTAGCCGCGGAGGAGGGGGACTGCTGTGTGTACCATTTGCTCAGGATGGAACCTCACCTCTGCTTACTCTTGATTTTTTTTCCCAATTAACCCAAGTTTTTTTTTAAAAAAGGAGGGGTTCCCTCTTTGGTACCTTGCAATCTTTCAAGATACCTTGGGGCTAGAGATGATTGGTTTTTTGTTTGTTTTTGTTTTTGAAATTTCATTGCTCCAGGTTTGCTATTTATAATGATGTATGTCATCACCCTATCTACCCTCCCGTCCCTGCCCAGTTCTGTTCCCTTCTGTTAAAGAGGCCCCCGACAGACCAGCACAAAGGTCCTCTCAGAGCAAGGCGCTCCAGGAGAGAGGTCAGAACCTCAGGCCTGCTGTATACGATTTTGTCTGGATGAGCTCTTTAATTCCATGGAGGACTGTGCACAACTTCCTCCGCCTTCCCACCTTGGATCCAAGTGAAATGTCACATATGCCTCCATCCCGTCCTCCCAAAGGAGCACTTCAGGTCAACCCCAAGCATCATGGATTGGAATCAGAGCTCTCAGAGGGAAGGGAGTCGATCCTCGGGGGTGGTAAGGGGTGACAGAGCTGCTGGGCTCACGGACACCTGGTTCTTAGAGAACCCTGTGATCAGCACCCAAACCCAGACTCTCTCAGTTCCTGGGGTTCAGATATCCTCTCTGTAAAGCCTGCCTCCTACTGGGTCGAGAGGAACTAGAAAGTACTTTTGGATATGCCAGGACCCTTGTGTTTATGGTTATTTTCCTTTAGGGAAACCTCAGAAACTGGTGAGTATCAGTGAGGTCTTGTGCCCTCCATCCATTCACTTCCTTCTGACCTCCTTCCAACACCCTCACTCGCAGCTGAGCTTTGAGCTGGGGCAGATCTCCAGGCACCTGGGGTGCTCTTCGCAGAGATACCTCCTCAAGCCCCAGGACACTGTGTAGGCAGCCTGCTCCCTGTGCCTGTGGTTTGTCACCTGGACAGTTACACGAGCACGGTGCCTCCCGCCTTGGAGGGCAGCGTCCAAGCCTGAGGTTCCTTCGGAGTCACTTGAGACAAGGCCCAGGACATCCAGTCTGGAGGCTCAGTGTGGTGTTTACCCTGGCCCTAGCCTTGGGCTGTTTCTCTTGTTGCTCCCCATTCCCAGAGATTTTCAGCAGATCTGCCATCCTCAGGCTTCCTGGAAGAAGTGGCACCTGTAGGTTCCTCGGAATTCTCGCCCACCTGCAGAGCCTGCTGCCCAGGCCCTCGGAAGTGAGCCCGTGTTCCGATGCCTTCGGAGCAGTCTGCACTGGGGGAGGTATACCATGCATCTTCGCATCCCTCACTGGGAGCCAGGGATTTGGGATGAGACATGGTAAAACTTGTAGATAACCCCAAAGATGTGAAGATGGTTTACAGAACCATTGAGTAAATAAATGGGTTTTGGTGGCTTCCTCCGAACACGGCCAAGCTCTGGAGCAGGAAGCAGCAGTGTCCATACCCAGCCCACAGCACTGGGGTGGGAAGGAGTGGAGACGGCATTCTTGGCTTCACTGGGGCTGCAGCAGTGGGTGAGAACCCGGAAGCAGCAGACGCGGGTCAGACCACTGCCCTTGCCCCAGGAAGGGGACACAGGTAGCACTGATCAAGACCACTAAGTGACTTGGGGAAGAACTTGGAACCAAGTGGCTCATGGAGGAAACAGATTTGACCAAGAAAAGGGATTAAGTAAGAATTATGTTTGGACATGATTTCCCCACCTCATAATCAAGAGTGAAAATTTGAATCTGCTCGTCAGGCCTAGCATCTCCAAAAGCGGAAGGCCGTCCTCCAGCAGCCTCCTGTGGCTATGGGCTCCGGCCTCTCTGCACTTGGTCTGCTGATCACGTTGCCGTAAATGTATGAAAGTGTAAGTCTGACCCGCTAAAGGTGACTACCAGGTGTCTAACTTGTCTAACATGGAGTTTTGTGATTTTTTTTTTTAATATTGTTTACATTTTGAGAGGTAGCATTCTGTTTCAAATGCATTTTTTTTGTTGTTCATTTTTCTGACAGTATTGTTGATTGGGTCCCAACATTTGAGCTGTGGTTTGGTGGGTTTTAGATTTGTTTTTTAAAGGTTGTTCTCTGTGCTATCTTCAAAACCTTGGGTTTGGTCCTCTAATTCCTTTGGCATTCAAATGTTTAAAAGCTATTGATCTTGGTTTCTATAGGTTTTCTTTCTCTTCTGTTGGTAACATAATCTCTTTGGTTTGCAGTCTGAAGGTAGAGAAGGTGGACTGACCTCCCCAAGCTTTTGTCAGCCCTACTATCTCTCTTGGGGGCCTCACCATTCCCTTTCTGGGCAGTAGGAGGTTATCTGAGGGGAAGTGACTACTCTCAGCCTCACTCCTTGGGGACACAAAGAAAGGCAAAACAGTCTGTGGCATCCCAAATTTTAGGTCTCCCAAGAATGAAGGTATGAAAACGAGGACATGGCTGATTGGTGAGGCCTAGACGGGATAAGGGCAGGATTCCTCTCCACTCTGCCACGTACAGGGTCCACGCAGTCACACTGGCCCTTGTTCCTGTTAATTTGACTCACTGGTCCTTGTGTCCCCTAGCGATTTGGGGGTCACAGGGCATAGCAGGAGCCAGCAGTTCCAGGAGGGCAGATGAGAGTAGTGCTGATCTCTCCTCTCCAGCTCAGGGGTTACTTGCCTGTGGCAGAAGCCACAAGTCACCCTGATGGCTGTTCTCAGTGACACTCTTAAGTTCCCACTCTGGGCAGCTCCTCCGCTCTCCCTTTTCCCTCTTCACTTTTTTCTCTTGCCTGTGCTTCAGGCCTCAAACAGGTCTCCTGGTAGTGCTCAGGGCTGAGATTAGATTCCTGCCCTGGGGACTTTCCTCTCTTGTCTGCCAGGGCCTGCCTGGGAGGTGGACCAAAGACCCAGGACTTTTCTCAGTAGCCGATCTCACCCCAGTTGTTTCTTACCGAGTCAGGTAGGAAGAAAAAACTTGAGCACCCTCCAGCATTTGAGTTCAAGTGCTGGGGGCCAGAAGGGACAGTGTGTTTCAACAACCCTCAGAGCTCTGGCCTTAACCTGTGCTCCCCCCAAGTCTTGAGACCTCACCTCTTTCTGACAGAAATGTGGGAAGAGGGGTCCTCAGAGGGAAGACATTCAAACAACTGCCCCCAAATCTGCCAGCCACCCGCAGGGGGCAGTGACATGGCCCTAGCCCTCCTGAGATGTGCCACTTAGGAAGTTCCCCAAGGGAAGGTGGAGACTCAGCTGTGCTGCAGCGGGTCACCTGAATCTCAGGAAAGAGGCGGGGGGACTTCTCCAGGAGCCCTTTTGTGAGGAGGCGGGAGCCAGCGAGCACCTTGTTGGGGAGGCTCAGTGCTGCTGGGCACACCCAGCAGCAGGTCCGATCGTTGCAATAGAAAATGTGAATGAAGTTTAGGGTCAGCTTTGGGGGAAGCAGGATAAACTACCACCCCACCAAATGTGTGTGACTTCTCCATTTCCCACTGCAATTTCCATTTTTTAAATAGGAATTTTCAGCCCCCTGTGCTTGTCTAATGTCTACTCTGAACAGTTCGAGACCTTGTTACTGTTTTAAAATGCATGCATGTTAAGATGAATCTTCAACCTGAGGAAAAAAATAAAACTCAAAAAGCTTTGTGTACATCTGTTATGTGTGAGTCCTTTGGAAATTAGTTGTTGCCTTTTTTTTTTTTTTTTTCTCTCCCAGAATTAAGTTTCTGGTCCTACCAGTTTTAGAGGCAGCATGGGTTAAATCAGTACATGACTTCAGGTCGAAATTGTGGTCGTGGTATCCCATTTTCAGACTCACTGAGCACTGGGAAACTCAGCAGGGGCAGGCAGCCTGCGAGCTGGCACTGCCGCACGCCTTCCCTCCCTCCTCCAGCCGTGTGGACACACACACCAGACCCCACGGCCGCTCTCCTGACTTGCAGGGGATGAAGCTGACTCGGGAAGCCGTTGCCGGGAACCTTATGTTCTCATCTCACCTTAAGCTTTAAGTCTAGTGGTTCTCAAAATACAGTCCTGGCCCAGCAGTACCAGCAGTGCCTGGGAGTCAGAAATGTGCACCCGAGGCCTGACCCCGGATTCCCCAGGTCAGAAACCATTTTAATGAGCCCTCTTGGTGGTCCTCCTGGAGGCCAGTGTTCAGGACCCACTCTGCAACAGGAGAGGAAAGATTTGTGGATTAAACAAGCACAACTTTATTCTGGTGTAAAAAAATTTTTTAATTCTTGGGGCCAGTAGGTGGTGTGGTGGTTAAGGGTGCTGGATTCCCACGTGGCTGAATGAGGTTCGAATCCTAGACCTAGCAGCTTGCTCTCTTGCTTTCCCTCTCTTTGTCTGGTCAGATTTTTAAAATAATAACAAATAGAATTAAATAATTTTTTTTAAAATGTAAATTCTTGCGTAGTTTTCCATAATACATCTTTTCTGTGAGCTTTTTTAAGACCCCCTCATAAGAACATTCGCTTACTTTTTAGGGCATCTACTGCAGGTTGCAAGCTGGAATCATTTGGACAATTAGAAAAGGCAGAGATGCCAAAAGAAAAAGAGTCAACCCTGGTTTGAGTCCCAGAACTGGTGGCTTAAACACACGCTGGGCGTGTGCGCATGCGTGCATAAGATCCCGAGAGAAGAATGGAGAAGGGATTGTGGTGTGGCTATCCCCCCAGGGAGTGATTTCTCGCTTTCTATCTCTCTGTCTCTGTCTTTCTGGTGAGCGCATGCACTCTATAGCAAAAACCTCTTAAAAAGGGGGTAGGGGGCAGAAATGCCAAGGCCTCTGAAAAGTCAGTTAAATCAGAATCCAAGAAACAGGATGAAGATACCAGTGTTTCAGACGCTCCATAGGAGATGCTGTGGTACACTGGTCTGGAAGGAGGGTACTTGGTCAGATTTCTACCTAAGCAGGAAACGACCTAAGGTTTTCCAGCAGTGCTTAGTGGAAGGGGTTCTAGCCTTTGGAGTCTAATAGAACAAGGGCTTATATCCTTGCCTTAGCACTTACTCAAGCAGCCTAGGATATTAATTATTATTTTTACAATTTGCTATAGGTCACCAGAGAGCAAGAGAGAGAGAGAGAGAATGTGAGAAAGCAAGCTGCCGGGTACGGGACTCAAACTGAGGTCAATCATGTGGGAGTCCAGCGCCTCAACCACCATACACCTGCCGGCCCTGAGGACAGCTTTGTAACCGCTCGCTAGCCATCTCAGGGTCTCAGTTGCCTTGAGTCACGATGATCACGCTCCAGCACCGTGGCACTCTGTGCAGGTGCCTGGCAGCTCCCCACCCTGTGTGGCAGTGCAGCAGAGCGCACGCCAGGAAGGACCGAGGGCTGAGCTACTCCCCAGCAGCTATTTCTGACAACCTACCTGGGGACAGAGATCTGCCAGGAAGCATCACAGACAGCAGGGATGAAAGAAAGGCTATTTTATTTAAAAAACAAAACAAAACAAAACAAAAAAAATGTGGGCTCTGGGAAGAGGGCTAGTCCATTCTGGCCTTCAGTGTCCTGGTGGTGATCTTGTCCTTCTCACTGCAGAGGGAAAAAAATCACATGAAAACATGCAGACCCACCTAGATGAGGGCTGTGCCTCCCTCTGCCAGCCCTCCCCTCCGAGCCTTTGGCAAGGGAGCAGGACAAACAGCTGCCCTCTGTGCTATCTGCTTGGCCGGTGAGGAGGGAGGGGGAGGATGGGAACAGAGAACTGGACAGACTTTCCAAAGGTGGCACCACCTGGGGAGCTGACCCAGGAAACCATTCAGAGATGGACAGAGCAGCGTCTAAAGGGAAGGAGCAGCACGGAGCCCAGAGAACAATAACTATGGCAGGGGAGGTGTATGTGTCACCCAGGGAATGTAAAAGAACCTGGGGGTGGTAAATTCTGTTTCTAAGGTAACTGAGCAGGCTATTCCACTAGGGAAATGGCCCACATGCTTATTCTGGAATGCAGAAAAGCTGCTGGGAGGGGGACCGGCAGGTGGCATGGTGGTTAAGGTGCTGGACTCCCACATGGCCAGCCGTGGTGCAAGTCCCAGCCCTGGTGGCTTGCTTTCTCATTTTCTCTCTCTCTTGCTCTGGTCAAAATAAAACATAAGTAATAATATCAAATAAAATTAAATAAATAAATCTTTAAAAAAAAAAGAAAGAAAAGCAGTTAGGAGGACTCCATCCAATTGGGTTCCTGGTGACAGCCCCAAACAAATAAGGAGAAAGGAGGAATGCATTTAGGGAGCCAGCTGGAGGCAGGAAAATGGTTCCCAGAGCTCAGCACATCACGGTTTTGGGTTTCAGGCTGAGAGCTGGGGGAGAGGATGGGAACCACTTGACGTTGCCTGCCTGCAGTAGCTCTGCTGTGGCTCATCCCACACAAGCCTCTGAGATTTGGGGGACACAGTGAAGAAAGGAAGAAAATGTCCACTGTGAGACTCGGGGTCATGGAGCCATACTGCAGAGAGACCAGGGGACTCGGGAGGCTCCTGGTTGCCGCCCTTAGGGAAGTGTAGACTGCTGCTGCATCTCTGCCCCTCCTTACTGGGAAGATGGGGTGTGCTTGTGGGGGGGCGGCAGGTATCGCAAAGCTTCTTGATTCCCCCAAGTCCTACTCACATGACATGGACGATGACTCCCATGCCGGACACTGCGTCCCGGTCTACAGCATTCAGCATGGCCTGGGAGATGGTTTCAAACAGGTGTTCTGGGTCCTGTCGACAAAGAACCTTTTCTAACCCACAGCCTCAGGCCCTCCCTTGGTCTGCCTCCTTAACTCTCTTTTTTTCTAGGCTTGAGGTCCCCAGCTCTGGTCCCTGCCAGGCCTGAAATGAGGAGGGTTCCCTGATGTGGGAAGCCCCCTCAGCTCTTTCCTTGGAAGGAGACTGGATCATACGAAGGAAATGAAAGAGACTGACAGCCCCAAATCTCCTCCACTACACGGCACAGTGACCTTGGGTAAGGGACAAGTCCCTTCACTGCACTTCAGTTTCTCTTCTGTAAAATGGGGAGAGGATCCCTACTTGGCTCCGGTCCCTTATCGGCCACCCGATGGGCTCTCCTCCTGGCTGTCTACAGGTACTTCAAAACCCCAACCATTTCCCTCCAACCTGTTCTTTCTACAACAGTCTCTCTCCTGGTTAGCCTAGCTAGAAAACTCGGCCATCCTCCACTTCGGTTTCCAGTGGCCAAGTCCTCTGGACACTGGCTGCTTCCCCTGCCCCACTGTCGCCATCTGTGCTCGGGATCTCAGCGCCTCCTGCAGGTGACAGCTGTCACAGCCACCTACAGGCAGACCCCTCGAGCTGAGAAGGAAGGAGGTCAAACTGGGCCTGGCAGCTGAAGCCCTTCCAAACCTCATCCTAATCTCGGTCTCCAGCATCACTGCACCCCATGTTCTACCCACACTCCAGCTCTCTCACCCTCCACTCACTGGACACACCTGGCCCCTCCTGTCCCCTTGCACAGGCTGTTCCTGTCACTAGACCTTGCCTTTCCTCCTCTCCCTGGAAAACTGCATTCTAGTAAGAATCTAGATGTCTATCTTCTCCACTGGACGGCAGTAAGCCCTGCAGCCACGCTGCCTGCTTCCCCAAAGCCTGCAGGGCTGGTGCTCAATGGTAAGAGCCGACCCCCATTAGACACTACTACAATCTCTTTTCGTGTGTTTTCCTCCACACCACTTCTTAGGCGTGTTCTGTTATCCCCATCTGACAGTTGAGGTAAAGGAGGCAGAGAGAGGGAAAGGGACTCAGCTGAGAAAAATAACTGGTGGGTGCATCCTTGCCCACCCAGAGAACCTGGCCCCAAAGCCCATTCTGTTAAACTGCATCTAACCCTACACCTTGTCAAACGTTTGTCCGAGAATGGCTGAGAACCCTGCTAATCCGCTGCAAGGAACCATTTACTGATTGCTGTGGCAAGTCTGAGGGGCTCTCCTCAGTAAAGGTGCTCTCCTCCAGCGCCATGCAGCCCTGCAGTCTCTGGACACCCTCCAGGGCTTCTCCCCTGCCAATAGCCCCTTGCCATTACCTGCCACAAGGACACGTTTTCTTCCTATGGCCAAGGGTGGGAGCTCACAGCTCAGCCTGCTCTGCCACCAACTCACCATGTTGGGCTCCCAGAGGGACTCGCACATCCCATACATTTGTTCGGAGCAGGTGCCACTGACCACAAAGTCGTCAGTCACCATAGGGCAGCCGATGAGGTCTAGAGAGCAAATGAAGGGCTTGAAGGTCTTCGGGTCCAGCCCGGCGATGACTGGCTCAGTGTAGTAGGGGCCAAACCTGTGGGTGGGGACCAGAGGGAAAACGGAACTCAGGGGTTCTCACTGTCGTGTTCAGGCTTATTCAGACAAGGCCTGGCCCAGACCCAGGGTGGAACACAGAGAACCCATCTGGGAATATCACCTCTCCCTGTGGCTAGATCTGTTCAACCCTTTCCTCCCTCCTGGTATTTGGCAATGCTGTAAGAATGTTTGCAGGGCCAGTTGGTGGCATGGAGGTTAAGGTGGCTGGATTCCCCAGGCCAACTATATTATTCTAGTCCTGGACCCAGCACCTTGAAAAACACACTGGACGTGAGTATGTGTATGCCTAAAATCCCGAGAGGAAAAAGGGTTGCTGGTGGCCATCTCCCCTAGGGGGCGATTCCTCAGGCTCTCTTCCCAGCAAGCGCACATGCCTTATTGCAAATTAAAAATAATACTGATATCCTAGATTATCTGGGTAACAACCCTAAGACCAAACACTAACACAGTTCAGGGTCTGTGCCTGTACTGTCAATCACGTTCATGCCCAGGAACCACCTGAAGGTCAGTGCTTAACTTTCCTTCAGTGTTTCACAATCAATGGCTTCTCTGGAGTGCATGAATTTTCTTCTTTTTAAAGGGCTCCGGGCTGGCCCCACAGTACAGTGGTAAGGTCCTGCTCAAGAACGGTGGTGGGACCAGCAGTTAGTGTAATGGCTATGTCGCTGGACTCCCACGTAGTTGACCGCGGTTTGAGTCTCAGACCCGGTGGCTTAAACTCACGCCAGGCGCATGCGCGTGCGTGCCCAAGATCCAGAGTGAATTTTTGCTTTCTGTCTCTCTGTCTCTGTCTGTCTGTCTGACAAGCGCACACGCCCTATAGCAAAAACCTCTCCAAAAAAAATTTAAAAATAAAAATAAATAAAAAAGGGGGGGGATAAACCAGCAGATGGCATAATAGCTACATCACTGGACTCCCATGTAGTTGACTAGACTGTGGTTCGAGTCCCAGATCTGGCAGCTTCAAACTCACACTGGGTATGTGTGTGTGCATGCCCAAAATTCTAAGAGGAGCCTTGAGGAGAAGGGATTGCAATGTGGCCATCTCCCCCTGGGGGTGATTCTCTCTTTCTGTCTGTCTAGGGAGTGCATGTGCCCTATAGTAAAAATTTGTCAACCAGAAAAAAAAATTAAAATAAAAAAATATTGGGACCAGCAGTTAGTGTAATGGCTATGCCGATGGACTCCCATGTAATTGACCAGGGTTCGAGTCCCTGGTGGCTTAAACTCACACCGGGCGCATGTACATGCATGCCCAAGCTCCCGAGAGGAGAATGGAGGAGAAGGGATTGCGGCGTGGACATCCCCCCTGTGGGGCGATTTCTCACTTTCTGTCTCTGTCTCTGTTTTTCGGGCAAGTGCTCGCACCCTATAGCAAAAACCTCTCCAAAAAAAAGAAGAAAAAAAAATGGCAATATAGTATTATTACACCTCCATTCTCCTCTTGGGATCTTGGGCATGCACGCACACGCGCCCGGCGTGAGTTTTAAGCCACGGGGTCCGGGACACGAACCGCAGTCGACTACATGGGAGTCCAGCGATATAGCCATTACGCCAACTGCTGGTTCCCTAAAGAGTATTTTTATAACTTTCTTTTTAGTTTGCTATAGCGCATGTGCAGTCACCAGAGGAAGAGAGGGAAAACGAAAAATCAGCCTCAGGGGGAATGGCCTCTGCAATCACTTCTGCTCCACTCCTGTCTCAGAATTTTGGGCACCTGTTCACACACACCTGGTGTTTTCAAACTGGTGGGTCCGGGAGAGAAACCGTGCAGCCAACTGTGTCGGATCCAGGGTCTTAATGTCCACCACCTGCTGGCCCTAATTTTATAACTTTTCTGTAAAGTCAAAAATCCTTTCAGAATAAAAAGTTAAAAGAAACTAAAGAGCTCAGCTTATGTTCTGACTGCCTAGTTTTGCCCAGACGCACGTGGAGAAAGAACTTCCAGCATTTCCCTCCCTGGGCAGTCCCATCCTGGCTTCTGCACTCCATTCTACGGTTAGGCCCCTTTTTCTCAGGGCAACATCCTCAAAGAAAACTGACAAAAAGTCACATCCCTGATTCCTAGGTTCTGTATACTTCGAAGAGTCTAGTGCTTATAAAATGCCAAGCTCTGGAGTAAAGATCCCAGCTGAGGGACCCCAGAACACTCTTCGGTGGTGCTAATTATTTTATTTGGAAGCAACTTCATCTGCCACTTGACTCCTTGCCTCCTTGCTTCCTATTTGGTAGTCAGGCTGAGAGAAAACAAAACAAAACAAAAACAATGCTGTCTTGCAAATAAGAAAAAGGAGAACAAGGAGGGATCTTACACCCCTCCAGGTGCCACCCTATTGTGTCAAGCGAAGGTGTGTGCACTTCCCGAGGGCTAGACTACATGTCCACCTACCGTTTCTCATACAGGAGGTTGGCCACCATGCTCATGAGGGTGTAAGGCTTGATCTGCCGCCCCTCCTTCAGTTCATACAGGTTCAGCCGGAACTTGAGGCGCTGGGCACTATGGTAGGAGGAGAGTAGGAGGAGTTAGGAACCCACTGCCAAAAGCACCCTGGTATACACCCTGTAGTGGTCAGGAGGAACCCAGGGAGACACAATCATGGTCTTTGCCAAGGGAAAGCTGCAAAGCCTCATGTGTAGTCACAAGCAGCAGCTGCCATGTTAACAGCATGGATGGTGCCCCTAAGAAAAAGGCATCGTCCTCCATGTGCCGTCCCAGAGCCCAGGACAGGCCCTGTATATAGCAGACCAACGCCAGACCTGCTGGAGGCAAAAGCAGTGAGTCACAGGATGCCAGAATGAGAGCCCAAGAAACAATGTGAGCCTCATCCTACAGGTGAGGAAACGGGCCCGTGAGACTAGCCACTACTGCGCATGAGCAAGTTATTCAGTGAGAAAAGCCTCGTGAGAAAAAGAAAGTGACATAAGAACAGCTGACGAGAGAGGAAGGCTTGAGGGAGCCAACCCTGCCATTTGGACTTTACCAGGCCAGGAAAAAAGGGTAGACTGGATTAGATCCCAGAAGTGATATGTCCTAGAGATGTAGGAGCTTTGAGGGAAATAGCAAGAGCATTTGTTGACAAGTTCCCATTCATATTCATGAACTGGTCCAGGAAATAGGTCCAGGCCCTGCTCCTCCTCCACCTACAAGCTTCCTGTGACCATAACCTTCCTCCTGAAAGTGTGTCCCAATTCTTTCCCTCTCTTCTTCCCCCACTCCTAACTATGAAGCTCAGCTCTCCAATGCAGCTTGTTTCCCTTCAGTCCTGAGATAGAATTTCAGTATCTCTGGGTCGGCCAGTGGCATGGTGGTTAAGGGCACTAGACTCCTACATGGCTGACCAGAGTTTGAGTCCTGAACCTGGCAGCTTACCTTCTCACTTTCCATCTCTCTCTCTCACTCTCACTCTATCCCTATCTGGTCAAAATAAAATAAAGTAAGTAAAATAAATAAAGTTAAAGTAATGTTTTAAAAATGTCAATATCCCAATTGCTTGCAAGATGTTCCTATGTGGTTTGCCTGGTTCCCTCAAAATTGGTGTCAAAACCAGTCATCTTTCTCCTCCAAGTAGTAATCCCAACTCCTATATTTCAGTCAATATAGGAATCACCTTTGAAACTTTTCTGGATTTCCTACATGCCTGCTACGAGTCTAGATTCTAGTACCAGATACAAAAAGCATGGTCTTGACCCATTCATCGTGTGTTTGAATGAATGACTTAATGAAGGACTCTTTGGCCCCACAATATCCAAGTGGCCACTAAAGCTGGTCAGCAACAACTCTGAGAAATCCGTCCCCTTCCCTTCCCACCACCACGTCATGAGGGCCATCTCACACCTGCACCTGACAACAGCTTCCCTATTTCATCTCCCAGACACTCCGTTTTCTCCGAGCACACACTTACCATCAACTAGGTAAACTAACCTGGCCGTTACATGCACCAGTTCATCATGAATTGGCCATCTGTGTGCCTGCCTTGTCTCCCAACGAGACCTGAAATTTTTTAGGGACAAATATAGATTTGGGGATCCTGGCTGACACTCGGTAATTTGAATCTTGGGCAAGACACTGTTGGACTCTAGTTTTCTCCTCTACAAAATGGGACAGCAACATGGTGATCTGGAGAAGAGGATTAAATGAGTCCATGCGTGAGGGTGCTTTCCACAGAGTCCAGCGCCAGAGTCAACGCTGGCACAAGTTGGTTAGGATACATCTTAACGCTATGGTGCCCGGCCAAGTCTGGGACTCCCTGGTGGGGTATGGTAGATGACCGACACCGAGGCCGCTCAAGCCACCAGACAAGGCTGGTCCAAGAGCAGGCCTGGGTTTCGCGGACCCCTGACACTTACACTGTCTGGACGTCGGTGGCGAGACCGGCCAGGCCGATGTACAGTCGGTCACCCATGGGAAAGATCTTCTGAAAGTCCGTGGTCACCATCTGCGCCTGGATTCCGAAGCGCCTGTCTGCAGCGATGGCCACACAGTTCTTCCCTTTCATGGCCATGACGGCCCCTCCATTATAGGACATAATAGACTAAGGCAGACAAGCGGGGGAGCTCAGCACGAGGCGTCAATCGCTGCGACAGCCCCCAGCCCAGTCCCTGATCCGGGGGTCCCTGGATGCCCCGAACTCAGGCCCTGAGTGAGCCCTGTGTGGCATCCCAGGGGCCACACTACCTTAGCCCTCACTGGGATCCGCTCCCCTTCGAACAGACGCTTCCCTCCATTCACCACCAGGTCCTCTCCGCCTCCCCAGGTCCCCTCTCCGTTTTTCAATCTGTACCTCGCACCCCTTTCCCTCACTCCCCATCTCACCATGATTGCGGTTACTAGGACCCCCAGCTGTCGCTGCAATTCTAGTAAACCGGTTCTGTCTTTCACTGCGCGACCGCTCTCGCTGCTTTCTCTCCATTGGCTGATAGGCCGGCTCTTCGTGGTGTTTCGGCCTTCTATTGGCTGTGCGTAACTGTCAGTCAACAGTACGGGTTAGTTTGGTTGAGAAGCCAAGACCGAGGCGTGGAAAGCGGAAAGTGAAAAGTCACCGTGAGTGCGGAAGAGCCTTGCATCGCGGTGCATGGTGGGATCGCGGCGGACCCAGGTTCCACCACCCAGACTGGGGGCGGGACCTGTGCGCACGTGGGCAGGTGTAGCCCGAGTTGGGTCAGATGGCTCTTGTCCACAAGCTATAATAGTTGGATGTATTAATTATGCCAGTTTATTTCATTTACTCACGCCACAGGTTCTCACATCTATTATGTAGCAGGCACTTTGCAGGGTTGTGGACATTCAGTGGCCCAGAAAGTGCCTGGTATTTAGGAAGGACCCCCTAAATGCAAATCTAACGATGCCAGAGGACAAGGAAAGGGTGTCGCGGGTAATCCATGGCTGCAGAGGTTCAACTGCAACGCGGAATTTTGGAGGCTGAAGGTTGTTTTGCCTTTTGGCACCAGCCGCAGGTTGACTTCACGTATCCCCAAGTCTCATTTCACCCTAAGTGACGTTCCGGAGCTTTCCACATCTAACGTAGATCCCAGGATTAGAGAGCGAGCGCCGACCCCTCACAGCCAATGAGGGAGAGGCGTGCACGTCGCGCTTCCTTCCCTCCCAAGCTCTGTTTTCCTCCCTGGTCAGAACCTTTCCCTTTCTTCGCGGGATCGGATTTCTTTCGCCCGATTAAGGTGCTTCCATTCTGGCTTCTGCGCGGTCTCAGCCTCGCTCCGATTGACTCGGCTCACCGCCACCCCAGCAGCTATCGCGGTCTCTGTGGCGCAATCGGTTAGCGCGTTCGGCTGTTAACCGAAAGGTTGGTGGTTCGAGCCCACCCAGGGACGTCGTGCTTTTTTATCTTTTTCCCCAATTGAAGTGAAAATGGGTTTTATGTACTACTGCTCAAAAGCCAAATTTTAATTGAAATGGCAGCGGCAACACTTTTTCTATAGCAAACCAGAGGGTTATCGTAATTGGAAAAACGTTCTTGTTTGCCAATGATGGGATAATTTATCCCGCACTTCCCTCCACTGCCTCCCTCACACCCTGCTCCCAAGCTGGATTACATGAAAGGCAAAAAGAGTTGTGGCTGTTTTTTGTCTCACTGTGGGATATGCTTCATTTTTCCTATTACATTTTTCGTGGGATTAAGAATTAATTAACCGGGAAGGTTGGGCAGTTTTCCATTGTCTGCCTAAACAGATGTCACAATCGCAAAATACTACATTTGGAAGGGAAGAAAGTAAGGAGAGAAGGAATCAAGGAAGAGAAACAAAGGTAAGAATCGGAGAATGTAGCTGTGATAAAAAGACAGGGAAAAGAGAACACAAGACAGAAACAGGCTGGGTGAGTGGGGAAGACCACAAGAAAACAAGAGAGGGGAAAGAGAAGCGTTTAATATAAAAGAGGGAACAATTTTTTAAGAAATACACGCCCAGAAATGGGAAGATGGGGAAACAGAAACTGACAAAGGACACTTTTGAGCAAAAAGGTGTAAAGGGCTCAGAGGTGAAGGAGCCCAGGAAATCAGCGGAGTCCCACTTTCCTACCATCGCTACCATTTTTAAAAAGATCTTCCTCACAATAGCTCTTGGTAGGTGCCGGGAACAATCACCTGGATTTTCCAGGTTTCTGCCATCCTCCAGCCTCTTGTCTGTGAGAGATGCAGTGACTTGCAGGGCAGCAGCCTGAGGACTGCATGAGACAGGAACACGAAATCAAGCGGAAGCATTGCCTGGTGGGCAGAGGCGCATTCCAGGATGCCAGGTGAGAAACAGCCTCCACCTCTGTGCGAGAGGATATGCAAAGGACTCCTTTAAGCAGTTCTCTTCCACACCCCACCCAGTCTCTCGAAATTCAAATACAAAGAGGCCTCTTCAGGCGGTCTCTGTGGCGCAATCGGTTAGCGCGTTCGGCTGTTAACCGAAAGGTTGGTGGTTCGAGCCCACCCAGGGACGTCGTGCTTTTTTATCTTTTTCCCCAATTGAAGTGAAAATGGGTTTTATGTACTACTGCTCAAAAGCCAAATTTTAATTGAAATGGCAGCGGCAACACTTTTTCTATAGCAAACCAGAGGGTTATCGTAATTGGAAAAACGTTCTTGTTTGCCAATGATGGGATAATTTATCCCGCACTTCCCTCCACTGCCTCCCTCACACCCTGCTCCCAAGCTGGATTACATGAAAGGCAAAAAGAGTTGTGGCTGTTTTTTGTCTCACTGTGGGATATGCTTCATTTTTCCTATTACATTTTTCGTGGGATTAAGAATTAATTAACCGGGAAGGTTGGGCAGTTTTCCATTGTCTGCCTAAACAGATGTCACAATCGCAAAATACTACATTTGGAAGGGAAGAAAGTAAGGAGAGAAGGAATCAAGGAAGAGAAACAAAGGTAAGAATCGGAGAATGTAGCTGTGATAAAAAGACAGGGAAAAGAGAACACAAGACAGAAACAGGCTGGGTGAGTGGGGAAGACCACAAGAAAACAAGAGAGGGGAAAGAGAAGCGTTTAATATAAAAGAGGGAACAATTTTTTAAGAAATACACGCCCAGAAATGGGAAGATGGGGAAACAGAAACTGACAAAGGACACTTTTGAGCAAAAAGGTGTAAAGGGCTCAGAGGTGAAGGAGCCCAGGAAATCAGCGGAGTCCCACTTTCCTACCATCGCTACCATTTTTAAAAAGATCTTCCTCACAATAGCTCTTGGTAGGTGCCGGGAACAATCACCTGGATTTTCCAGGTTTCTGCCATCCTCCAGCCTCTTGTCTGTGAGAGATGCAGTGACTTGCAGGGCAGCAGCCTGAGGACTGCATGAGACAGGAACACGAAATCAAGCGGAAGCATTGCCTGGTGGGCAGAGGCGCATTCCAGGATGCCAGGTGAGAAACAGCCTCCACCTCTGTGCGAGAGGATATGCAAAGGACTCCTTTAAGCAGTTCTCTTCCACACCCCACCCAGTCTCTCGAAATTCAAATACAAAGAGGCCTCTTCAGGAAACTCTCCCCAGCGCTCCGCACCTTCAGTGCAAACCCAGAGGAGGTACTTGGGAGATACAGGAACCAACCCGACTGCCTGTCCCTCAAGTTTTGCCCTCAATGGGTGTGAGCCTCAGGGTGCACCAAAGCCAGCCCCTCTGCTTTAAGTCCCCAGTGCCTGGTGTAGTATTTCATAATGGCATATGACAGATGTTATTTGAATAAGGACAGAGAAACAAAGAACTTTGGAGGAGTGGGTCAAAAGTTTCTCCTGATAAATTGGAAAGGCCAGGGATGTGGGACTGGTCGTACAGGACAAAAATAATGAAAAACAATGTTTAGAGGGTGGGGGGGCAGGGGGGGTCTTCTGTACTTTCTTCTCTCTAGCAGCTTGTGACAGGTGCATAAAAATTGAGAAACAGACGAAGGGACCCCAGCTTGCAGCCCTCCAAGATTAATGGATGGCTTAGGAACAAACCCTGTTTCCACAGGGGCAGCCCCTGGGTTGCCGCGTGGGTCGTGGGTGTCACGGAGATCTTCACTTGACGCTTGAAGGTTTCTCGTTTGGGGTCTTCTAGTCCAAGGGGAGTCCTCGCTGGACTCTATCCCCGCTGAGTGAGCGGATGCATAAGTCTTCCCGGGCAGAGTCCAGAATGCCGGGGACACATTTGCCTTGAGGACAGTGGGCGTGTCTACACACACACACACACACACACACACACACACACAAAACCACCCCCACCTTTCCGTGAACTCGCAGGCTCCGAGTGCAGGGATAGGGGGAGCAGGTGACCTGATCCTCCCGGGGCTCGTCTCCCGCCAGTTCTCGAGCCACCCTCTCCGGGCGGAAATCTCTCTCACCCTTCCTCTTCCTCCCCGCCCCCATTCGGCCAGTGTGGGCTAAAGGCTACAGCTGGGGTCACTCGGAGGCCGTGTCCACAGGTCTCTTGGTCGCTTTCCAGAGGCGAAATAATTCATTCCGGGCCCCCAGCCTTGGGGCTGCTCGGCTTCGAGCTATGAAAGGAAGCAGACGCTCGGAAGCTTGGCGACGATTCGTTTCCTAATTACCTATCCTGAGTCAGTGCGATTAATGGCGCTTTTGGCCGGATAGTCGAGCTCTTTGGAGGGCGACACGGTGGCCATCCCAATAAATCGCGAATAACGAATAAACAAATCGACCGTCCTAATAAGGTCCACGGTCGTCGCCGTAACGCAGTATCGATTCGCTTTCCCGGCGCCGG